CCTAAGTGTTCAATTCAATCGGATTCACGTTGATATAAAAACCCCTTGATTGCAGTCTAAAAGTGCTCTTCGATTAGTTCAAGATGCTTCGCGAGGAAGCAAAAAAACCCAAAACACCACTTGCAGATATTTGGGGGCCCTCCTAATTTAGGGAGACTCTGATCCGCAGACGGCAGAAGTCCTCACCCGCCAAGAAGGGCCGCCTCCAACCGACTCAACCGCAGCCGCTCCGCTTTTCAGCGTCCTCCCTGCTTGAATTTGGCGCGGGCGGACCTTTCGTTCGTTCCGCGCAAAGTTCAATTCAGGGCTGTTCCGCATATTGCCTGATTTTTTTTAGCTTTCTCAGAAATCGAACGAGTCAGGCGTTTGGGAGAGGCTACCAAGGAAGGAAAACAACCTGACGAGTTTCTACGCTACTTTTATGCAGCAACGCGATTGGAGGAAAAAAGAGTTAGAGCCCCCCCTAAAGGGGGCGGGGCCTGAGAGATTAAGTCGTCCGCTTACTTTCTCAGGCCCCGCCTTCTGTTTGGATTTAAAGCGGGAGTAACTCCAGAAACTGTTAGCTTTGCAGGGAGGGAAATATTCCTGTGGTCGAGCGGTTGGCGCACTGGACTAGATGAAGCTGTAGTTTAGTGGCTTATTTTTTCTTAACCCCTAAGTTCCTTTTTTATTATTTTATACCATTTTCGAATCTGGATCATAGTTAAGTAACGGAAGTTACTCCAGCAAACATTTTAAAGAGAACGTTATTTTTCAGCTTGTAACTCCTGTTTCGTGTAACAGTGCTATAAGGCTTGGAAATTTTACTTTTGTAAACTATAACAAGCACAGCTAAAGAACGACTTTTCTTTTCTAATAAAAATCAGTATCTTGTGCGATAAGGATAAGAGTGGTGCAAATGTTAAGAAAATTACATCTTAAGAATTGTCAGTCCATCTTAAGATAAGCACAATGTCCATATGGCCTTTCAGAAAGCTGTCTTTTGTTAGAATATACATTTTTTAAAAGTTTTTCTTAGTTTTGCTTTTGAATTTTTCTTTGTAAAGCAGAGTTATGAGCATAAACAATTTAAAAAAATACAAATCTCAGAGTTGCCCCATTTTCGAGTCTTTTTTTTTTTTTTGCAAGAAAGTGTCATTTGTGGCCATTAATGATATGGATTAACCTCAGAAGCCAAGTGGGGCTGGAATTGGTTATTACTTGACTGAATGCAAGGCATGTTACTTAAGTAATATGCCCAGGAAGAATGCATAGCTCCTGTTTAACTAATCCATAATTATTCAGTTGTTAACTTTCCTAGCCAAAGTGAAATAACCTAGAATTAAGGAGTCAATCTATTCTAGAACTAAGGAGAAATTTCCCGACAGGTAGAACAATTAATCAGTGGAACAACCTGCCTCCAGAAACTGTGAATGCTCCAACACTGGAAGTTTTTAAGAAGAAACTGGACAACCAGTTGTCTGAACTGGTATATGGTTTGGACTAGAAGACCTCCAAGGTCCCTTCCAACTCCATTATTATTATTAACTAGATTAGAGCCCTTGGTTGCAACTGATGCTAGATTTGCAGAAGTGCAAAACTTAGGAGGACCCCTGTTCTTTTTGTGCTGGCCAAAATGTTTTTGCCCACCTGTGAGCTTTGTGAACCAGCTGATTTTGTTTGCTTATTTCATCTGTCTTGGGTTTCTTACCAGCTAAATGGATTAGGGCAGGGGTAGGCAACTCAAAACACTCAAAGAGCCACTTGGACCCGTTTCCCACCAAAAACAAAACACCAGGAAAAGTTAAAACATTAAAAGTTTTAATATAAAACAGAAGTTTTAAATAAAAATATTAAAAGTTTTAAAAGATTAGCAACCTAGCTTTCGTTGGCTCCTGCCAACTTCATCAGTGCGTACACAAATCAATGGGAGTGAACATTTATATGTAAGTTAACGCCTGCGCTCGACTCCTGGACCGTGTGATAGGTCCAGGTCGGCCAATCATAGCATTCCCTGTAATTGCTGCATGATTGAGTGACTCATCTACTTGTATCACGCATCCCTCATCAGAGTTTAAACAAGCCTCCGACTCTCCACTCATCCATATCCGTGGTCTAGGAGGATCCTCGATCTTATTCCAACTCGAGATGTCATCCCCACCACTAAGTCATCTCCCCCTTCTCCCTTCCTTTGAACTCTCTGTAAGTTTATGGTCCTCCCCTTCTCCACCATTCTGACATCTACCCTTAACATCATGATGTTTTTTACAACGAAGCCTCAATCTGGGTAATGTACTTATGCTTTAATGTACTTACGCTTTAAGTACATTACCCAGATTGAGGCTTCGTTGTAAAAAACATCATGATGTTAAGGGTAGATGTCAGAATGGTGGAGAAGCGTTAACTTACATATAAATGTTCACTCCCATTGATTTGTGTACGCCCTGATGAAGTTGGCAGGAGCCAACGAAAGCTAGGTTGCTAATCTTTTAAAACTTTTAATGTTTTTATTTAAAACTTCTGTTTTATATTAAAACTTTTAATGTTTTAACTTTTCCTGGTGATCATATTTTATTCTCACCATGTATACACCTACACCCAGGAATCATGCTTCTATTTTTAATATCATATATATATATATATATATATATATATATATATATATATATATATATATATATATATACATACATACATACATACATACATATACATACATACATATATATATATATATATATATACACACATACATATATACACGCATACATATACACACATACATATATATACACACACACACACACACACACACACACACACACACACATACATTGCTGGTCTATGACCGTAATAAAGTTTATTATTATTATATACATATACACATATATATATCTCATAAAGGTAAAAAAGGATATATGCAGTGTTATCTTCATTTTAAATATCAAAAGGGTCTCTCTCTGTGTCTCTCTCTCCCTCCCTCTCTTTCTTTCTGCCCTTGGTCTGCCAGTCTTTTTCGCCCCCCCCCTCTCTCTTTCTCCCCCTCCCCTCTCCCATCTTCTGCTCACCTGGCAAGCTGGCTTCAAGCTGTTCTCCAACAAGCTCAGAGGTAGGCAACCTGGCTCTTTTATGACTCATGGACTTCAATTCCCAGAATTCCTGAGTCAGCATAGCTTTTTAAAACCAAACCTAGCCCCAAGCAAGAGCTAGGCCCATACAAATGCAGATGTAAAACCATCAGAGAATTGAAGCCAGAGCAATCAAGAAGACAAAGAAAATCTGTATACCTCACCCAAACTCTAGAAGTCATTAGCCCCATCACCTGGGAAGCAGGATATGATAATAGGATTAAAACCACAGATATCAAGGCCTAGACAAACACTCAGAAACAGCCTCAAGGTTCATGCCACGGGAACAGGAAACTATTCCAAACAAGGCTAGAGAGGGTATAAAAAAAACCTACTGTCCATGTGCTCTCTCTCTCTTTCTTCTCCTCTGCTCCTTATTGCAAGGACCATCTTTCTGCTTCTTCAATAAACTGTAACCTTCTTCCCAAAGCAGTCTCCATGTTGCCTATTTATTCCAGGCTTGGATGAACCAGGATGAAGACTTACTTCTCACACTACTGAAGGGTGTTGTTTCAGGGAGCTGGGGAATGGGGAGATAATTTTTTATATGGTTACCACTGTTGCTGTGAGCCACACCTTTATGGCTCACAATTTTGTAGCATAAGTGTGTATGCTATACTGAGGTTCTTGAACTACTGTATATGTGCCCCTCCCCTCAATATCTGGATGGTTATTTAGTTACATCCATTTGTTTATTATATATGCTATTGAATCTAATGTTGCCTCCAGTCTTAAAAACTGTTATCAAATGAGAAACAAATGTAGATAAAATGAAATGTAGGAAGAGTAATAGGTTGTTTGATTAATTCTGGCCGGTCCTACCGTAATGATCCTATTGTAATGGGCCATTCTTGGTAGGATGGACCTTCTTGTGGAAGTTTTAAATACTAACACTTGAGTTCACTGTGATAACAATTGAGATCATTTTCATTCTAATATGTACTGTAGTTAAAGTTAGTAAATATGTCCAATAGTATTATTTAAATACAGGAAAATTAAAACTATGGAAGATTTTAAAGGAAAGTTTTAAATCCACACTCTATTTGTCATGTTATCTAAGCAGCATAATACAGTAAAGAAAAATGACTTCTGGTATTAAAAATATTACAAATAATGGCCCATGGATTATAGTGGAGTCTCTTCCCACATTATCACTGGCTTTTATTGCCATCCTTTTAAATAAGTTTCCCCCCTATTTTGTCTCCAATTCTGGAAATGTTATTACTTTGCATCTTTTATTTTGGAGTGTCAAACATTTGTATTGCCTGCAAACTGTAACAGCATGACAAATGAAAAAAGGCTTATTTCTCAGGTTTAATTAAAAATAGTATGCATTTGTAATTAAATCTTTAGACCCACATGAAAATCTCTGAGTTGGTTTCAGAGTTACCAAATATAGTAATCCATGTCTTGTATCAGAAGACTGTATACAAGCCCTAACTAAATTGGAAGAATTTTGTGTAGCCTCATAAACCAATCTTTGCTGGAAAACAAAATATAAGTAGCATCATTATGGTAATCAGTTTTGACAATTTAACAATGAACAGTAAGAATAATGAAAACACAAATCTAAAGATATATTCTGATTATGTTGCTTATACAAAACACTCTTTCAGAATTAAATCTTATATATTACATAGTTAGGCATTTACACACTCACTTTAAAGACCCAAGCTATGTTAACTTGGGGTTGTTTTAAAAATAGGTCCATTGGTAACCAAAAGAATAAAATATTTAAAATTAGATGAACAAATGACCAGACTTTCATTCCTCCACAACGAACCTCCGCTTGGTTCATTGTGACTCTGGAACTATAGTGATGTCATAGAAAGTGACACAAAAGGCTCTGGGGGAGGGGGGAATACAGTAAAACTCACTCAGTTTCTTGTGAAGTTGGGTACTTTTGGTATTAACCATGGATCCCTCATTTCACATGATTTTATATTTTCTAGTATGTCTAGGAGCAGTTGCTAAAGGTATAGATCTATGAAATCTATCTGTCTTCGTTAGGATATAAATTTATTCTGAAATAATAATTTTTATCTGCTAGATTTATATTGTGATTTTCCTCCAAAAGTCTTATAATGGTATATATTTTCCATTTTGCAATTTTTCTCTATAATAATTTTTAGCGTAGGCTGAACTGAGAATAAATTAATGGTCTCAAATGAATGAGCTTCCATGGCTCAGGGTAGAGTTCAACCTAGGTTTCCCTTATTCTAGTTCAGCCCTTTAGCCATGACTACAATGGCTAAAAAATGTGTTTTTGAAGTATACATCTGAGGAAGACATTTTATACTTTTCAACGATTTTTCTCTTTGACCGCCCTGGCTTTTTAGACTCATTAAAGTAGGACTTGATCACAAAAGAGTTACACAAAAAAGCAAGCAAGCAAGAGGGACTTCCACCTACTCTCCTAAGAAATATATGCTCAAAAATACAGCAAGTATAATCGTGGATTGGACCTGCAACACTATTTAGCTGAGTGTAGAGCTTAGCATCCTCCAGTGCTGCTATTCATTCATACTCTAAATCTAGACTATTCATCAATCTCAGTATCAGTACCTTTATATATATTTAATTAATATATATGCCACCCATCTCATTGTCAAGTGACTCTGGGTGACTTACATCATAAAAAAGGTACAAAATATTAAATAATTATACCTTCCATTGTTCTCGCTCAGCTCTCCCTTAGTATGTCTTGGTGAATTTCTTTCCTTCCTTCCTTTCTTTAGAAATTCCATTAAAGAATTCAGCAGTAAAAGAAAATAAGGATACCCGGAAGCTCAAACAAAGCTTGAAGATCTTGCGAGATTATTGTAAGTTGTTCTTTCATTGCATAGCCTATTTGATTTAATCATCTAGCTCCCCATCAACTCTATAAACCATAGTTTTTACTGTTTGGAATGGAGTTCCCTTACCAGGATAGAGAAGTTGACCTTTCCAATATCATTTTCTTAGGTTTCTCTAGCCAACAACTTTCTGATGGAGAGATATTTCTGATGGAGAGATACAGTACTACTTGTAGCAGAGAGCAAACAACTGAGTCCTCAAACCTTCTTCTTTAAATAGAAGATATTTTTGTGGGAATTTGTTTATTTATTTATTTATTTATTTTTGGTTTATTTTTGGATGGTTTTTTGGGGGAAACTGCAGGTAACTCTTAGAGAGGAATGAGATAAGCCAGAAGTTGGGTACTGGGCCTAAGAACTATTGTTCCTCTGTTGGCCCTCTATTCTTTAATTTATTGAGCGCCTGATGTTATATCAATATATGATTGAGCTGTTTAAAAGACATAGTTTATACAATACATGGACAATTATAATGAAATATGGTCAAGGCACACATACACACACACATATATACACACACATAAATATATATACAACATCTGATTTGCAGATGATTATGTTCTCTTCTCACAAGACCCAGAAGAGTTACAAAGACACATACAAGAGCTACACAAAGCAGGAGAACCATTTGGCTTAAAACTAAAGCTGAAAAAGAGCCAGGTTATATTTAATAAATTCACCAAAGAAAGCAAGAAAAATATATCTGAAGAAGAACTAGATGGAGTAGACCATTAATAATATTCCTTGGCCAAAGGATCTCAATGGAAGGTGATACAATAAAGGAAATTGAGTGTGGTTAGTAGGCATTTGGCAAGCTAAACATAATTTTCAAGAACAACCTCCTCCTATCCCGGAAAAGAAAAAATTTGAATTGGTGTGAGCCACCTGCTCTTAACATATGCCAGTGAAACACGGACACTAACCTCACAATCAATGCAAAAGCTATGAGTGGCACAAAGAGCCATGGAAAGATACATGCTTGGCATTAGTAGACAAAATAGAAAGACATGCCCATAGATTAGAGAACCAATGAAAGTATATCATGAAGAGAATAAAATAATTGAAATGGAAATGGGCTGATCCCATAGCAAGAAGAACTTATGGCAGGTGGACCAAAGCAGAATGGATCCCATTTGATAAAAAGCAAGAGACCTAAAGCAAGATGGATCAACAACATCAGCACATATTGCAGACCACTTGCCAAAAGAAAGCTCAGGACCATATTGGTTGGAAACATATGGAAGAGGCTTTCATCCTGCAGTGGAAAGACAATGGTTAAAATGATGATGATCTCACACACACACACACACACACAGAGAGAGAGAGAGAGAGAGAGAGAGAGAGAGAGAGAGAGAGAGAGAGAGAATGAGAAGACCTTATATATACATTTTTCTTATTGTTCTATGTTTGTTTTTCTTTTCCATTTTTTCCCCTTTTGCCATTGTTTTATATTTTTCTCTTTGTTGTATTTTATTAAATAAGCTATAGGTATACTAAAGAAACATATATTATCTTGCAGTGGATGAGCTTGGCATCAAACAACCTACAGAGACACAAACCGAGTACCCCATTTTAAAAGGTAAGGTTTACTGAGGGACTATCAGATTCACAAATCATACAACAAAAGCCATTGTAACAGGGTAGGTAGACGTAATGCCAAAGTACATGGAAACTTTTAGAAGTACTTCTCCAGCAACAAAACCAGAATGTCCTTCCTGTAGACATCAGAATGTTTCCTACGGCTGATTAGTTTTTCAGTTTTTGGAAAGATCTCTAGAACCTTTTTAAATTAGTGGGGAAAAAAGATTAGAATTTGACATTAGAGAGAAATCTCTGGTGGGGTTGCTTAATAAGAGCATCTATCTAGTATTACGTAAAAAAGAAAAAGAATGATTTCCAACACCTTTGGTACAGATATAGATTTTAAAAATATTAAACTCTTACTCTAAAGTTAACAGTTGTCTCCATTATTTCCATATGCTAAACCCCAAAATCAGCTTTTCATTTGTTTCAGTTTCTCTCAAAAAATCCAGAAGTGATACCCGAGTAGAAGTATAATTTGTTAAGATTGTTAATTTCACCATTTCTGCCAATTTCACCAGCTTCACCATACATTCTAGAATAGAATAGAACAGAACAGAACAGAATAGAATAGAAGCTGGAAGGGACCTTGGAGGTCTTCTAGTCCAGCCCCCTGCTCAAGCAGGAGGACCTATACCATCTCAGACAGGTGATTGTCCAGTCTCTTTTTAAAAACTTCCAGCGATGGAGCGCCCACAATTTCTGGGAATAAGCTGTTCTACTGGTTGATTGTCCTCACTGTCAGGAAGTTTCTCCTTAATTCCAGGTTGCTTCTCTCTTTGATCAGCTTCCAACCATTATTTCTCATCCTTCCCTCTGGTGCTTCGGAGAATAACGTGACCTCCTCTTCTTTGTGGTAGACGCTCAGATACTGGAATACTGCTATCATGTCTCCCCTATTTCTTCTTTTCTTTAGACTGGCCAAACCCAAGTTCCACAGCCATTCTTTCATTGTAGATATTTGTAAGCCCTCCCACCTTTGACTACATAAGAAACTTGCTGCCCTTAGCATATAAACAAAGTTGCATCATAAGATGTTTCCATCAAATCGAAAAGAAAAGCCTTGCTTTCAATTGTACATTTACTTTTAAAATTCTCAGCATCAAAATACATACTTTATAGCTTTGTTGTATGTCCATCAAAGATTTTTTAAAAATCCCTCAGTTTGACTGCATTTCCAAGAAATTTTTGAAATTTCTGTACACATTTTTGACAATTTATCTAGTATCATATACCAACAATACATCGTTTTATAAAAATTATCTATATAAAATTCTTGTTTTGACTTTATAGGATAATAATAATAATAATAATAATGATGATGATGATGATGATGATAAAATTGGAAGGGACCTTGGAGGTCATCTAGTCCAACCCCCTGCTCAGGCAGGTAACCTTATACCATTTCGAACAAATGGCTGTCCAGTTTCTTCTTAAAAACTTCCAGTGTTGGAGCATTCACCGCTTCTGGAGGCAGGTTGTTCCACTGGTTAATTGTTCTAACTGTCCGGAAGTTTTTCCTTAGTTCTAGATTGCTGCTCTCTTTGGTTAGTTTCCACCTGTTGTTTCTTGTCCTGCCTTCAGGCGCCTTGGAAAATAGCTTGACTCCCTCTTCTTTGTGGCAGCCACTGAGATATTGGAACACTGCTATCATGTCCCCCCTCGTCCTTCTCTTCGTTAAACTAGACATACCCAATTCCAGCAACCGTTCCTTAGGATGGATTATATCTAGTGACTACATGTTACTGTATAATTATAAGATTATAATTATAATTATATAACTAATTATATAAGAATATAATTCAATGTAAATTTCAACTCTTTCTTCCATATACTCTCCCATTTCTCCAGTTATATTCTTATATTCCAAATATTTTGCCTATTTCATCATACAGTCCTTAAGTTGTTTGCCCTCTTTCCATTTTCCACAAAAGTTTGGAATATCTTAGCAGCAATACTGTAAAGACAAAATTCAATCTTATCTTTTTCAACTTCATAATTCTTCTTATCCTTCTTAGATCTTTATATTAGCTGTACATAAGGAAATCAATGGCATTTATAATGGAATTCTCCTTATAACAAATATTGTGGTATCTGAATATTACAAGTGCTGTAAGTCTATAAAATTTGAGCATCAGTTCAAAAAGTTTAAAGTAACAAGTGGGTTGATAGATAAGCTATAAGCAGACTAGGAACTAAAGAAACTTATGTTACCTTGCAGTGGATGAACCTGGAATCAAACAATCCCCAGAAACCCAAACTGAGTATCCCATTTCAAAAGGTAAGATTTACTAAGAGGCTACCAGATCCATTTTTTACTAAATCTAAAATAGTCAACAATGGAAATATTTAGATAATTTAACAATTGGAAACTGGCATTCATTATATATAATTAGGAGCTATGGTTGAAAAAAATGACAAATACAATTAGAATTTTAAATACAAGGAGGGCCGAATCACAATTTTATCAAATCTGGTACAATTAAAGTACTATCTGAGGTCTAACAAATATTGTGGTATTTGAATATTGCAAGTGCTGTAAGTCTATAAAGTTTGAGTGTCAGTTCAAAGAGTTTAAAATATCAAATGGGTTGATATAAAAGCTGTACGTAGATTGAGTTTTACTAAAGAAATCCATGTTGTCTTGCAGTGTCAGTGAAGTTGTTTGGTGTGGGCCAATCCCAAAAGATACAAACCACAGAATACTCTTCAGAAGGTAAGATTTTCTAAGGGGACATGATGTTCTGCAAAGTAATCTTATTGAAATGCTAGGTTAGGCTCCTTGAATCTATCAATAAGAATAATAAAAAAAATAGTCACTATACTTATGCAGAACAATGATCTATTGAAAAAGTCCTGACCTTTCAGAATGGATTATATTGCTTCCTTTAAAAAACAAACCAGAAAATTACTATACAAATGCTTTTCCACTTCTGGGCTATTAGAATGTTTGCACTCCTTTCAGTTTTTATGTGTGTGTGTGTGTGTGTGTGTGTGTGTGTGTGTGTATACACACATATACATATAGACACACACACATATATACATATATATACATATAGACACACATATATACATATAGACACACACACACATATATACATACAGACACACACACATATATACATATAGACACACACACACATACACACACACACACACATATATATGCACGTATACATACACACACATATGCATATACATATTAAAGAAAGACAAAACAAAATAAAAAAAGACCAAAAGGATGTTCAGTGACTTTAGTTTTACAATAACACAGGCATCTGTGAAGTTGACATGGAGAAGCCTGAATAAAGGATATTTTTGTTGGTTTTCCACAAAACCTTTTTCTATTTAATTCTTTATATACCGTAGTGTAGCTGATGAAATGTTTATCATTCATATTTGTGATTTAACCAAAGATCCTTTCCAAAACTGAAATAAAAGGTGCTCAGTGCATGTGCTAAGAACTTAACCATCTAAACAAAACTAGAATATGTATGATCAGTCCTAATGGTCCTACTGAGTACTGGGACATTCTTGGTAGAATGGTTCTTCCTGTGAAGTTTTAAATAATTAACTGTTCCAAGGGATAATAGAGGGAGGGAGGGAGGGAGGGAGAGAGGGAGGGAGGGAGGAAGGAAGGAAGGAAGGAAGGAAGGAAGGAAGGAAGGAAGGAAGGAAGGAAGGAAGGAAGGAAGGAAGGAAGGAAGATGAAGCTGATACAACCAAACCTATCACAAAACGTAGCTTAACTTTCTTTCCAACTAACTTACATGCAGCACCTTTCCTTCTAAAGGCTTGTTTTGATCTTTTTGTTTTGAACTTTAGAAGATGTATTTGGCCCTCATTATCGTACAGTGAATACAGACGAGCCACCTATGGACCTCCCAATAGAAGGTACAATTTTGTGAAGATGTGTGAAGCTTGTTGTAGATCTAATGACAACTTTTGTTACTAGCACTTCCACCATTATTTTCTCAACTGGACTGCCTTTTTTGGAGGAGCAAAGATATTTCAGAGTCAAGGCATTCGGGTAACATTTGAGGAAAAGCGCCATACGGAATAAGACATGGATTTAGTATCTGAGTTTGTTTTCAATAAGACACTCATAGTTTGTTTGAATTAGCTACATTCTTAATGTGGATGATGCCTAAAGAATGTTTTACAGTACTGCAGTTTATGTAGGCTATGCTTAGAGATACCAGGAGTGGACAATTTCTATCCATGGGCCTGGGAGTCTCTGAAATTGTACAACCGAACAAATTGCAAATTGTGTTTGGGTGTGCATATATATATTGTAGGAAAAAGATGCAAAATACATGCATTAAGGTTCTGCATGTTTTTCCCTTTTAAACCTGCCAACAAATATAAAGGACCCAAAATGTAAACCTCATCCGTAGATGTTAGTGAGTTACAAGTATGCCTTTTGAGTTGTCTCATAAATATAAATAAAAAATGCGACCAGAAAGAACAGAAGTATTGCGCAGCTAAGAAATAATCCAAAATAAAGCTAATTTACCTTTTTTTTTAGAAAATAAACATGCATCGTTCTGGGTATTTTAATCGGATTCCTTATTTACATTTGTTACAGGATTACGGGATCAGGATCTTCCTCAAAACTTGTTTTTTCAACCAATACCACGTAAGAACACGATTTAACATAGTTAAAACTCAGTGTCATTTGAATCTAACTACATGTATAATTATTTGCCAGAAAGATTATATAATCTGTAAAACCCATATTTACTGCTAGAAAAGAAATATCAAATCCTAAGGAATCTGAACTAAACTGTCAAAAATCAGCACTGTTTGTGAAGCATTAAGAATTGTTCAAAATCCTCGGCATTCTCGGCAGATTTTTTTAGGCATCAGAAGGACAATTTCCACAACCCTATCCATATGCCTAAAAGTACCTCTGAGAGGAATAAAAATGTATTTTTGCACACATTTTATAAAGTTGGGTATCCAGCTTTATAAATTATTCCCAAATTGTACTTTTCTCGAGATACATTTCATTTTGGTTGACACTCAAGGTATATTAATACTCCCACAATTAGGACAGCACTGCCTCATAAAAAAATGACATGAAAAATAGCAATTTTCACAATCAATTCATAGAATGATTTTAACATCTAAGAGTTCATTTTATAATCTATTTCTCATTCTCATTTAGTTCTAATTCAAATTTTACTATCAGCACAACAGAGGTGTAATCTGGGTAAATTTAGAAGCATCCAGCATTGTGTGCAACATTGCATTCTGGACCTGTTGTAGCTTCTCTGTGGTCTTCAAGGGCAGCTCCATGTAAACCACATTGCAGTAATCCAAACTGGAACTGAGGCATGAATGTCCGTGAACATGGCTTCCTAGCCCAGAAACTATGAAGCTGTGCAAAGGCAGATAGAATGAGAGCCATGAGGGCCCTCAAATTGACATCCAGAGTCAGAGAGGAAATATCCCCAAATTCTATGGGTGGGCAAAACCCACAGCCACTCCATCTTCCCAGGATTGAATCAAAATCTGTTCCTCCCCATCCAGAACTTCACATTTATTTATTTTTTTTACAAAATCTATCATATAATAAAAGCCCATAGAAACTCCACCTTACTCCACGGCAGCAACAACACAGTCAAATTAACCACTTCATCAGCCCCAACTGTACCTCAGTTTTGGTCATATCTGTGTCATGCAGCATTTGTGGCTAACAATAATAACAATACTGGTCTGTTTTTGCACATTTGAGCTAGTATGCTACTAATAAAATTAAAACTCAGCTTTTATCTTAGACCATTCAAAAATTCTGTGCTAGCTAGAATTTCTAATCTCACCAAGAGGCATATGCAGTGTACTGACACAAACATATATGCTAGGAGAGATTTTTGCCTTTTTTTTTTTCATGCAAGCACTCACACACATACACATAGACACAGGGTTACTAAGCCGTGCTAACAGATAAAACATAAGAAATGGTAAAATTGTTCTGGTAGTTCTAATTTCAGGCTATGAAAGGGGGGTAAGTATTTCAGTATTTCCACATTGCATTCCTTCTCATCCTCTTCTATAGACACAAAACCAGCATATGGGGGGGGGGACTAGCCTGGATTGTTAGTTTTACAATTGTGATTAGTTTATTTTTATTTTTTACAAATAAAGAGAGCATGTAATTAATTCATGCAATGAATTAATGAGTGGAATGAGTCCACTTGACTATTTAATAACATTTTTCATCTTCCCCAACCTCCATTATGCTTAAGTTTCAGACAGAATACATGAGATTGGGAAAAGTGGCCAAGGACATCAGAAAAAAAGAATTGAGGAAAAGATACTGCTTCCCATCTCTGTTATTACATTACTTGTTTCATTAATTCTTCTTGGGTGTTCTGCCTTTGGAATATATGAATGTACCAAAGAAAAGAGGTAGGTTTACCTGTCATGTATCTCTTCTGAAGGGATAAATTGTTTTCCAACTATGCATTCTTGTGTAGCACTATCTATAGTCTGTAAATATTGTAGTAGAGTCAGATATGCCATTGTTCACGTAATGGAGGAAGGATTTAGCAAGTTTCCAAAGGTACAAATACAGGACAACAGCAATAATGAGGTGACCTTAAAAACAGCTGACGAGATCTAAGCATAGCAAGAGCAAGAGCACTTAATACTGCTCCACAGTGCTTTACAGCCCTCTCTAAGCAGTTTATAGAGTCAGCATATTGCCCCCAACAATCTGGGTCCTCATTTTACTGGCCTCAGAACGATGGAAAGCTGAGTCAACCTTGAGCTGGTGAAAATTGAATTGCTGGCAGTTGGCAGAGTTAGCCTGCAAATCTGCATTCTAACCACTGTGCCACCAGCATGTAACCTATCTTGCTGGATGGCATATAATAATCAGGGCCATTCCAGACTCTTGTAGGTCCCACATAATAACATTATGAGATACTGCCTTCCTTCTCTAAGGGTCTTAAAACCTTTCTCTCAGCAAGTCTTGATGATGATGGATATTCTTATATTGACTGTTTCTTTGTTGCCCACTGCCTGGATTTGGAGCAGTTTGACTGCAGCAGTTGCAAATATTGTTGATCGATTGAAAAACCAAATGCTGATCTTGGGTGGCATAAGATTTGGGTGGAAAGAATTTGTTAGCAAATTCAAAGCAACTTCCAGATCTGTAGAAAGAGAAATGTCTTTAAAGGCAAATAATGTCTGACTTGGGTCTGTTAATGGTTTGGAGATTCAGAATGGAAAACATGGGACAATAAAAATCAAATTAGAGACCTTGAAAGAAAGTGTGGTAAAATGACTAGGAATCTGAACAGGGCCATCTGACTTTGCAGCCTTTTGCTGTAATATTGTCTTGTCACCATGCCTTCTCCAAACAGTGTGCTCATTCTTGGGAGATCAGAAGTTTTCTGAGGGTCTTTTGAAGTATCGTGAGAATGGAATGCACTACTTGGAGAATGAATGTCACGTGCTATTTAGAGAAGGGCACAAATAGCCTTGGGAAGAAGGTGTGGCACGACCAGGAATTGCTTTGTATAGAGTAGTGTGAGGCCAGGCGTGTCTCAGCAGCAGCAGAAGAGAACAGTGAAGGTCAGTTAGGTAGGCAGAGGGGCTGGACTGGGGCAGACTGCCCTGTCTGCGAGACCAGGCTAGGGTGGCTGAGGCTTTGCATTGTAGCTCAGAAGCTTTCTTGCAGCCCCAATCATAGTGCACCAAGAAGCTCCAGAGTTGTAATGTATTCTTTTCCCAGCCTCTCTGGGTTTGTGGCACGTGGCCGCAATCCCCAACTCATGTACAGCTTACACAGCCTGTGCATTCCCACTCCCTGCGTTCCTTATCTGGGATTCCTTCTCCTCAATGATCCATGCATCTGGAGTTATGACAGCAGATGGGAGTGCTACAATTGTGGTTGCTAAGCGATGCGATCACGGGACATCTCATTTTAAGATTGCATCACTTAGCAATGGAAATTCCAGTCTCAATTGTGGTCACAAGTCAAGAACTATCTGTACTCCTGGATCACCTGAGAAGTAGATTTATATTCAAATGACTATGAGTACAATTGACTTTCTGCCTGAATGTGTGAAAGTCAAAGGGTATTTACACAGGTGTCATTTCAGTAAACCTGGGGCTTGTATTTGGGAAACCAACGTATAGAACTGAAGCTATCAAGGGAAGTGGCTTGCAAGGAAGCCATATTATTAGGAAAAAAATACTGTACTGTATTAGGTACTATACTACATTAGGAAAAAGTGTACTAGAAATGGCACAAGTGTGTGATCTTTGTATTTCTACCCATCTCCCTTTGGAACAGTGCTCAGGTAAGCTGGCATTTTGGAAAGCTACTTAGACCTAGTTGTTTTGGAAAGCTTTTTGCTTGGCAGGGCCCATTATTAATTTTCCTTGGTGCATTAATGGATGGTTAAGAAAGTTTACTGTTGTCATTGGTGTGGAATGGAATTTGGTGAAATTTGATATTTTTGTATACTTGTAATAGTAATAGTAATAGTAGTAAAGTTGGAAGGGACCTTGGAGGTCATCTAGTCCAACCCCCTGCTCGGGCAGGAAACCCTACACCATTTCGGACAAGTGGCTGTCCAGTCTCTTCTTAAAAACTTCCAGTGTTGGAGCATTTACTGCTTCTGGAGGCAAGCTGTTCCACTGATTAATTGTTCTCACTGTCAGGAAGTTTCTCCTTAGTTCTAGGTTGCTTCTCTCCTTGATTAGTTTCCACCCGTTGCTTCTTGTCCTGCCTTCAGGTGCTTTGGAAAATAGCTTAATTCCCTCTTCTTTATGGCAGCCCCTGAGATATTGGAATACTGCTATCATGTCCCCCCTTGTCCTTCTCTTCGTTAAACTAGACATACCCAATTCTCGCAACCGTTCCTTATATGTTTTAGCCTCCAGTCCCCTAATCATCACAATAAATACATAAACATAAAACATAAAGGATTGGGGGGGGGGAAACCAAGAAACCACTGAATATAGCAATGTTTCTCAACCTTGCAACTTTAAGATAAGGTGAAGTCTCCGAATTCTCCAGTCAGCAAGAATTCCTCTCAAGGCTGACTGATTAATTTTGGGAGTTGAAATCCACTCATCTTAAAGACGCCAAAATTGAGAAACACTGGAATACAGAAATGGGATATAATGGACCTAAGAAGTGGTTTTGCTCACTTTCCTGTTTTTTTTTTTTAACAATTTGGGCCTTTGCTGTAGGCGCAACTAAGAAGAGCATGTGTATATGCAAGTACCTGGTGGCTTTTAAAAATGTCATATAGTAAGATACATAGCAAGGTATTTTATGATTAATGGCATTAAAACATGTGATAAATTAACTGCACTTAAGTACTTTAGTACTTAACTGTAACTAAATACCATTCTACAATCCTAGAGACCAGACACCAGGTCAGACCAGATATACACAAACAGAGGAACTTGAAATAACATCCTTCAATGCTATTGTGAATATTGTGGATGAAGTATCATCATTTTCAGATGACTCGGAGGCCTCGCAAGACAAACATGAAAACAGACCACACCATTAGTCTAAAAAAAACAGCTGAATCTACTTAAAAGAAGTAACAAACAGCAGAAGCAGTACTTATCTATATAGCTATATATCTATAACTCTTTGTTTTAAATTTAAAGAATTTCAATACTTTTTGTTCTTTTATATATAATGTAAAATAATAGAGCTTTGTTTAAATAATGGTGTAATTCAACTTTTAAGCAATTGTTGTAATTCTAATAAACGTATATGATTTTTATTCTATTTTTGGGGGGTACTTTTTATTTATTCTTTCTATTTATCTAGCTGACCATCTCATACATATGACTGGGCTGCTTACAAAACAGTTAAAACAATATAAAACAACTGAACAACACAATATAAGTTTGAAACAATAAAAAGCATTTTGTAGGTAATCAGGATTACTGCTGTGTTTGTTTTTTTCTGGATATTTGAAGTCATTTTGCTGAATATTGTGTTTTAAAAATTTTTTTCCTTTCAAGTCCTCCTACAAAAAAATTGAATAAATTGAGTTATCTCTAACAAGGCGCCAGCTTAACTTTTGAGGCCAACTAAGATCACGTACACTACCTTGGATTTCAGATCTTTTCCTTAATCTGCCCCACTGAAGCAGAGATGGGGCAAATACACGGATTTGTTCATAAATGCCCATTTTATATTTCCAAAGTATGTTATCTCTGCTCTTCTTATGGACCTGGAGGGGAGCTGAATTGATCTGACTGATGGACCTCCTTCTTTAAAAGCTCCCCTTTAAAGAACAAAAGCTGCCATTTATAAAGTTAAACTTTCTGATATGCTTTAATCAGTCCACCTGGGGTGTTCTTCTCTTTTACCCTACAGCAGGGGTCTTCAAACTTGGCCATTTTATGACTTGTGGACTTCAACTCCCAGAATTCCTCAGCCAGGCAAGCTGGCTGAGGAATTCTGGGAGTTGAAGTCCACAAGTCATAAAAGGGCCAAGTTTGAAGACCTCTGCCCTACAGACTTCTCTCACATATTAAAAAACGAGGCAGAGATTTGATTGCATGGTTGCAGCTGCCATGTTGATTAGACTGTCCCAGTGTTGCCTTATCATACATGTCTTAATTCCCTATCTCTTTTTAGAAGGCAGTTTGAGGATTAAATAAGGCCCTTGCAATACTAATCAACTTTTATGGAAGTTCAGGTGATATTCTGCTTCACTCAGGAGACAAATTAATGGTGATTTCCAGAGGAATGAGAAATTCTGCTCAACCACCATTGCTGTCTGTGGTATATAATACTATATTTCTTTCTGCTTAATATATCTTGTTTCCAGTTTTCTTGGAAAAGCCAATATTGCAGTTTTCCTTTTAAGAAAACTACTTCCGTGGTATTTTCTTGACTGTTACAGAAATGGCTTACCGCTGCTTTCTTCATAGCTGTTTTTGACTTCCAAGAGTTGCATATCTCAGCTGGTCCCTTACCGAGTTTTGACCAGACTCAATCTTGATTAGTTTCTGAGCCCAGCCAACATCTACCTGGCTGACATTTTCTGAAGCACATACAGATGAGGATAATTCAGTTTATATTATAATAATAATAATAATAATAATAATAATAATAATAATAATAATAATAGATAAGACATAATAGATAAGATAAAAAAGTCTGGATAGTGGACATGACAGTGCCTGGAGACAGCAGAATAGACGAGAAAGAACTGAAGAAGATAACAAAATACAAAAACCTACAAATAGAAATAGAAAGACTGTGGAAAAAGAAAGCAAGGGTAGTACCAATAGTAATAGGTGCCTGGGGTGCAATCCCAAAACAACTGGAGCACCACTTGAACACCATTGGCATTGACAAATTTGCCATTAGTCAATTGCAAAAGGCGGCCTTACTAGGAACTGCTTCCATCTTGCGAAGATATCTGTAATACCATCAAACATCCACATATGCCTATCCCAGACCCTTGGTAAGGACTCGATAGGTAGACAAAATGCCAAATCCAGTCTGAACATCTGGCTGACTGTGCAATGACCCATAATAATAATAATAATAATAATAATAATAATAATAATAAACCCCCAGTGAGACACTACCTTGCTATTAGTCAATTGCAAAAGGCGGCCTTACTAGGAACTGCTTCCATCCTGTGACGATACCTGTAATGCACATCTGCCTATCCCAGGTCCTGGGTAAGGACTCGATAGGTAGACAAAATGCCAAATCCAGTCTGAACATCTGGCTGACTGTGTGATGATCCATAATAATAATAAAGTTGGAAGGGACCTTAGAGGTCATCGAGTCCAACCCCCTGCTCAGGCAGGTAACCCTATACCATTTCGAACAAATGGCTGTCCAGTTTCTTCTTAAAAACTTCCAGTGTTGGAGCATTCACCGCTTCTGGAGGCAGGTTGTTCCACTGGTTAATTGTTCTAACTGTCAGGAAGTTTCTCCTTAGTTCTAGATTGCTTCTCTCCTTGATTAGTTTGTATCCGTTGCTTCTTGTTCTGCCTTCAAGCGCCTTGGAAATTAGCTTGACTCCCTCTTCTTTGTGGCAGCCCCTGAGATATTGGAACACTGCTATCATGTCCCCCCTCGTCCTTCTCTTCATTAAACTAGACATACCCAATCCAAGCAACCGTTCCTTATATGTTTTAGCCTCCAGTCCCCTAATCATCTTTGTTGCTCTTCTCTGTACTCTTTCTAGAGTCTCAACATCTTTTTTACATCATGGTGACCAAAACTGGATGCAGTATTCCAAGTGTGGCCTTACCAAGTCATTGTAGAATGGTATTAATATTTCACGTGATCTTGATTCTATCCCTCTGTTAATGCAGCCTAGCACTGTTGGCTTTTTTGGCAGCTGCAGCACACTGCTCGCTCATATTTAAGTGATTGTCCACTAGGACTCTGAGGTCCCTCTCACAAAGGGAAACCTTATTTTATAGGCAATTATGTATCATCATCAGGGATTCTTGAGGCCATATGTTCCAGCAAGTCACCCATCCATACAAAAGTGTTTCACGTGCAGATTTTTATGAGACAGAAGGGAGAACTTTTCAGGATTGGTTTTAGTTACAACTGGCAACCCAAGGGTGACATGGTGGGGAAGAAGGTATTCTTCCTATGCAAATTTGCCTACTTTTTCCCCTTAACCCAAATCTCCTTTTTGACTATGGTAGTTGAGAAGTATTAGAATAACAGAAAAGAATAAGAGAGTTGGAAGGGATCTTGAATGTCTTCTAGTCCAGCCCCCTGGTCAGGCAGGAAATCCTATACCATTTCAGACAAATGTTTGTCCAATCTTGTTAAAACTTCTAATGCTGCAGCATCCACAACTTCTGGAGCCAAGCAGTTCCACTGATTAATTGTTCTGTCAGGAAATTTCTCCCTAGTTCTAGGTTGGTTCTCTCCTTGATTAGCTTCCATCCATTGCTTCTTGTCCTGCCTTCTGGTGCTTTGGAGAATAGGTTGGCGCCCTCTGCTTTGTGTATTGGAACACTGCTATCATATCACCCCTAGTCCTTCTTTTCAATCACTTCTCCTGGACTAAGTGCTGTCTGGAAATGATAGTACAGGTAGTCCTCAACAGTTCATTTAGTGACTGTTCAAAGTTACAACAGCACTAAAAAAAGTGACTTATGACCATTTTTCAGTTACGACCTTTGCAGCCTCCCCATGATCATGTGATCAAAATCAAATGCATGGCAACTGGTTCATAATTATGACCTTTGCTGTGTCCCAAGATCATGTTAATCTGGAATGATGAACAATCACTAGAATAATGATGTGTCTGCTTAATTACTGGAATAGTGCTGTTAGTAGTATGTGACTAACCTAATGTGCATTGCACTTGGATACAATGTATGTAGCAAACTCTCCATTGTATACCCATGTGTATTACAATGTGTATTCCTTTGTTCCTGAGAAAAGGAAAGTATAAAACTGAAGTCTGAACCCACCCTCGGGGTTCAGAATTGCTTGTGGCTATTGCTTCTAAACCTGTGCAATAAATCTCTCTGCTAAAACCCTTTGGAATTCGTAAGAGTCCTTTCGTTTTCCACAAGAATGTGATCATTTTTTGTGATCTTCTGACAAGCAAAGTCAATGGGGAAGCCAAATTGACTTAACAACTGGGCTACTAACTTATCAACTGCAGTGATTCGCTTAACAACAGAGGCAAGAAAAGTGGTAAAATGAGGCAAAACTCACTTAACCAATTTCCCCTTAACAGAAATTTTGGGCTCCCTTGTGGTCGTAAGTCGAGGACTACCTGTCTTGGTAGTCCACGAACTGGACGGTAAGGTGGTGGAGGGGAGGTTGGTACCCTGCCTAAAGATGGTGTTATCTTTACACGATCTAAAGACAGTCTTGCAAGTCACAGCCAGGCCAGAAGCGAATTCCTCCAAATAGCCCCAGGACAAGTGTGGAGGAGTCGTGGCGCCTTTGTGAAGCTTCCCTCAGAACGTCGGGAAGGGAGGCAGCAGCCCGCGTCTGAACGCGAGGGCGATAATGCGCGAAAGAGCAGCAGCTGCAGCAGATTCCCCTCCGCCTATGGCCGCCCGCTCTCAGCCGAGGGCGGAGTCTCCCCGGGTGAAATTGCTCTGGGTGCCGCCGCCGCCGTAGCTACGTTGTATCTTCCGCGACTTCGCTCAGCAAGTGAGGGGAGGGGGAGTCCTCTTGCCTGCGGGAGGCAGGAGGCGACGGCGTTACAGCTGCAAAGCCGCGGCCGGCGGAGCTCTGCCGGTGTTCCCTTCGCCGCTTTCCTCCTGCCGATTGGCGTAAAAAGCGGAGGCGGCTTTCCAAGAGGCCGCGGCTCCGGCTGAGCCCAAGCGGCCTCTAAGCGACGGCGGCGGCGGCTTGGGGAGGCTTCCGCTCGCCTCTGCTCCGCCTCCACCATGTCTGTAGCTGGGGATGGCGGGGCGGGGACTCCCAAGGCGCTCCCTTCGTCTGGACCTAAATCCCTGCAGGACATCCCGCACCCGCTGGCCGTCGCCTCCAGCAGCGAGGAGCTCAGCGTGGAACTGACGCCCAGCCCGGATTTGCAACTGCCTCGCAGCATTGCCGACAAGGTAAGCGGCGAAGAGCGCCTTTCCGAGTGGCCTCCGGGTGGGCTACTACGGGAAGGCGCAGGAGCTTGCGAAGGAGGAGAGGCACGGCCGGCCGGTTGCGTTTGCATT